CAGTGCTTGTCAAAGCCAGTTCTGATTAATCTTCTTTGTCAGTGTATCCTTTGCCATTCCCTATCACTCCTCCCTGAGAGAGACTTCACCCTGAGTAGGACAAGATTCTGAGCTATTGTTTATAGAGTTACTGGGAGTTGTAGTTGACTCAATGGTCTATAGCAACAATATTAAAATGTAAAACCCAAAATGAGGATGGAAAAAGAGACTAAAACAGTACATACAGAACAAAGCAAGTTCCATTATATACACACATATATACACAGAATAAAGGTTAGAATACCATAAAACATTCATAATGGATACGCTATGGAAGTAAGATGGGGATCATTTTTGTTTACTTTCCTAGATTTTTATAAATTTCTATAAATTGTATACTACTTGTAAAACATTAAAAACTTTATATATTATCTCAACACCTAAGAGTATAATTTTTTTACAGTCTACTGAAAAATTAAAGGGTACCATACTCAGAAGGGTGGACGGACAGCGCAGGAGAGGGAGACCCAGGATGAGATGGATTGACACAGTAACTGGGGCAATGGGGATTGGCGTGTTGGAATTCGTGAGACTCAGAATAGGCTCAGGATAGGAAAGGGTTCAGAGCTGCTGTACATAGGGTCTCTATACATTGAAGGCGACTCAACGGCACATAACAACAATAACATACTATGACAGGTTTGGAAGCAGGAGTAGCATCCACTTCCTAAATAACATGCCTCCAGAAACTCTATGAACTTTGATAAATGTCTATAGTTGTAGAGGGGCTTCAGGCCTTTGTTCATAGGGTCCCTATGAGTCATGCTCGACTCAAAGGCAATCACCACCAACAACATTGAGTTCTTTTTTTTTTTTAACATTGAGTTCTTTAATGCTTTCTGCTGATACAAATCTAGCACAGAAAAAGAAACATTTCTTGTACAGAAATATTTGGGGTGAAATATGCTATGAGAACACTTCTGAAGTACTTTTAAAAATTTTATTTTATTAATTTTAATGAACATTTACAGAGATTTTGGATTTCCATTCATTCATTGTTGCACTTTTCTCCTTGCCCCCCACCCCAGTTTGTTCTTCTCTTTGAAAAGTAAAAGAAAAATTCCTTCACTGGTGTACAATCTCCCTGCCCCAAGTACATTCAACTATACAACCTTCATTTTGTACTCCTGTGATAGCCATAATACCCTATCATAAATCGCTTTTAACACTTCTGAAGTATTTTTTTTAACTAAACTGCCTGATACTTTGTAGAAATTCTTAAAAGAAAATAACCAAATATAATTCCTTTCTTTTTTTCCTACCAAAATAGAATTTGAAATTATTATTTCTGAGAATAATTTCAAGTTAGCTTTCTCTGTTACTAGTTGGCAATAAAGAAGGTAGTATTATAAAATTACACAAATACAGTTAAAAAACACATAGATGGTATGTATGTGCAACTTTTTAAAAAAGAAACTGGATTATATGTTTCTATCGGAAAAAGTAGATTTTTCTTTGAAGAAAATTTTGTTGCCTAATTTCTGATTCGAGCTTAGATCGACAACCTTTATAGTTGAAATCACACACTTACCCAATCGCTTTATCCATCCTTTTCCTCTCCCACTCTGTTTTGCTGAATTTGCTAAACGAATGAAAGAATAAATGAATTAATAAAAAATAATATTTACTCTAATTAATACTTTCCTCTTCCAACGTTCATGATGAAATTGTTAACTAGCTGCAGAGATGTCTGTAACTCAATTATGAAACTCTAATCAATTTATTGTGACTCTAATCAATTTTAAAAAGTCACAACAAATTTATATGAAACTCAGAAATGGAATTAGTGAGAGCCATTCTGCTTATCCACTGGTGACTTTTGTACAGCATTAAGAGACAGCCCTAAAAACCAAATACTAAAAAAACAAAACAAAACAAAAAACCCAAAAAAAACCCCAAACACTAAACTCTCCTTTTTTTTTTTCTAGAATTATATTTTATTAATTTTCATAAACATTTACAGAGATTTTGGGCCTCCACTCATTCACTGTTGCACCATTCTCTCTACCCTCCTCCCAGTTTGTTCTTGTCCAAATGCCACATAAACTCTCCTTTTATAGCTTCAGGAATTAACAAATAACTTCCTCCATGAAATCTTTCCTGGTATTTCTCCTACGTGGATACATGCTACCTCACTCCTGCATGGCCCCACCACTTTGTTATTATCTCCTAGTGTTGACCCTCATTTGCCTTATTTGTGAGGCTGACACACAGTAGACACCATCTATTTATTGATAAGTGAGGGAGGGAAGAAGATGTAGTCTGTAAAACTTTTATTCTAACAAATACAGCATTTCCTCTGACTAGGCTAAATCAGCTAAACCACACAATAGTTCCATTACATCTATTTTATAATCTCAACTTCCAAATAAGACTGTTTGAAGAAAGAGCCCCATATTAGAAGCAGTTTGAAATTACTGCCCGAAATTACATTATTTTGTATACTTTCTCATCATCTGTATTTCCATCCCCACCACAGTGCCACTGTGTCCCTGGTGGAAATCATGTTCTACTCTTGTGACTAACAGAACCTTTATTCAGGATTTTACCCTAAAATATGTCACTAGCATTTTAGCTAAATAACATATAAAACTAGAATAATTGTTCTGAAAACTTAGCTTTCACCTAAGTACGAGAAATGATGTTTTTCTAGAATATACCACAAACATTACATTTTAAAGGCACAGACATTGAATGGAGGAATGCATGAAACACATGTACATGACTTTTACATGCAAACCAATATAAAATTTTAAAAAGACACACACATAACATACACAGCACAAAACCATAAAAATACAAAGCAAAGCCAATATTTTAATAAGTATGCTTCTACTCTGTAAATGGTGAGCTATAATTTAAAGTAATTGCCTTTAGTTCATATATTGTCCTGGTTAAATTCTGATCCCTCATTTTTAAATGTCACTGCCAATCAACCAAAGAGACACCAAGGAATTTTTTGTTAACGTTTTAAGGCTCATCTGCAAACTAAAATGAGTTATGAAAGACATTTGAGAAATTTTATATATATATAAATTTAATATATAAGAAAAAGAAGCATCTTTTTCCTTCTCAACAAGCTTTTTAAACATACAGTATCTCTTTACTTTTGAAGCTAAAATTCTCTCTGTATTGAAAATATAAGAAAAGGCCATATAATTTCTTCTCATTGGAATGGATTATTCTCTTCAGAGAATAAAACACAACCAAAACCATAATAGCAACAATAACAACAAATCAATCTAACAGTCAGAATTCTCTGAAATTTGAATCCAGGGCCTGATGGACGGGTGTTCAACAGAGCGGCATGTCTATCTAACTCTACCTGAAGGAGAAGGAGCAGAAGGCTCTCCTCAGAAGAGAACATTTCTCCCTGTAGAACATGTGAAATGCTCAGATCTGACAGAATCTAACTTAACAACGAAAATGATCAATATTTACTTCCTTCAGGCCGTAGTGAAGGACAGCAGATTTCAGAAATATTCTGATTTGTATGCAGTCACAAGCACCATTTAATTTTCTTTTCTCTTGAGGGATAGGACATAATTTTATCTATATGTCTATACACACACACAAACACTAATGAAGTATTTACACATATGCCCTCATATCTTAGTTCTTTTTTTCTTTGTGTGCTGTCTAATCGTATCCAACTGGCACAGGGGGAGATGCCCTTCCTTCTCCAGGGGAGCATCTGGTGGATTCAAAGCATGTGACTTCAGGATTGCAGTGCACTAGGCCACCATAGCTCCCTTCAAATCTTAGTTCTATCTCTTCTGTGATGGTTGACACAGAAGATAAAATTTATAAAGCCTATCTCTGAGAATGGCTCTTATATAAAATGAACCCTCCTCCAACAAGTCATTAAAAATATTTTATTCTTTATATTTTTATTATTCATGTCTTCTGAATGATACTCCTCCTGAAAACGTCACCTGACAGTACACAGAGACACTCCAGCCAGCTTCAAGTAGAGGGAGGGCACTGGTTTTACATGACAAAAACATAAAATTCAAAAAAATAGGAGAGCATAGTCATGATATGAACCATGTAACAGAGCAATAACCCACCAAGGAATTTTAATGTTTTCTTTCTGGCAAATAAAATAACTGTTTAATCTTATAACATAAACTTGAGAGATGTGGTATACATTAATATAATGTATAAAACTTGGCCAAATGAGCCAGAATGAGTATAAAAGTAAGGTGGTCAATTTATTCCTGTTTGGGAATATTAGACTAATGCTATGAATTTCTTAATCAAACATGAATAATAAGTAACCAGCAAGCCCAAGGAAGGGATAAAAAGAGGTACAAAACCATGACTGTAAAAATCCAAACAAAAAGAAAACAAGAGCTATTGGTGAGGATGTGGAGAAATGGGAACCCTTCCCCAGTTCTGGTCACACTGTACAATGGTGTAACCTCAGTAGGAAACAATGGGACAAGCCCTCAAAAAAGTAAACATAGATCATCATATGGTCCAGTAGTAACTCCACTCCTAGACAACCCTCTCCTAAATAACCCAAGGAATTCAGAACAGGAGAGCAAAGAGACATTTGTGCAGTAATATTCAATTGGCACTAAGAAAGCCAAAAGATAGAAAACATCTTTGTTTAATGCAAAGGGGGGGGAAAACCTTTAAGGACAAAACAACAAAAATTCCCAAAGAAAATGTTCTACCCAGGGAGTAGCTGGAGTCAATGCACGTGTGGAGGGGGGCTCAGCCCTCATGTGAGGTGTTCAAATGGCTCTCCTCTCAGGAATACCCTGGGCTGTAGAGAAGCTGTTTCTCATTCTCTTGGGGAGACCTATCTGTTTTTCAGTTTGCCAAAACACAGCTCACATATAAGTAACTTAGATAAAAAGTTGGAAAATATTTGCTTAGAGGAATTTTTAAAAATAAATTTAATTTCTTTTTTTAAAAAAAAATCTTACCAAACTTATTCTAAAACAAAATCAAGCCAACCAAACACAAAAGCAAAGAAATTAATACCTTATTTCCTCTTTAGTGATATCCCTTCATGTAATCAAAGAAAAAAATTAGAAAGATAAATGAAATTGCAAATCATTCAGAATCTAAAAAGGTTACAGAATACAATGACAACAAGCCCCTGAAATTCCTGACTTTCTCAGATAATCCTTGGATTCACCTCTTCTGGGCTCTCTCTCCTCTCTTCCTCCATCATGCTCATTTTTCTTGTTATTCTTTCTCCTAGACTCTGCTTTCCTTCCAGAATTCCACATATACTTCCTGGATAGCAGTGGTGGAATCAGTCCCTTTAACTATATTTCACCTGCATTTTTTAAAAGCCCTCTCTCATTGCCATTGAGTCTGAATTAACTCATAGCTGACCCTCCAGTAGGTTTCTGGAGGCTGCAAATCATTACAAAAGAGATAGTTCATGCTTCTTCCAGCAATCTGCTGGTGGATTTGAACTGCCAGAGAATCACTTACACTGCCTTTGGTGTAGTAGCACAGCTACTTCAGATCAGGCCACCAGAACTCCCTCTTACTTATCCTGTGGACCCTTCAATTCAGAAATCCTGTATTTTATTTAGCACTTTATTAAAGCCTCACTTCTGGTGGATGGATGATCCTGAAAACTCAGCAACCATGGAGTAGATGAAGTTAACTCTACCCAATCTATCTCTTGTTCTTACTGTCTTTTTCCTTCCTCAACAATTACCTGCATTTTGGATGAAGAGAATCAGAGAGGACCTGTTGAGCAGCTGTAGTATCTCTTTCCGCAAAATACCTGCAGTGTTGAAAGGAAAGAAGGTCATAACCCTGTATCTGAGGAATGCCTCTACTTCCAACTCCACTTCAGGTCATTTTGCTTTCAGGTTTCAGAGATGGATACTGGCATACAAATTCATTTTGGTTCCTCCAGAAGATAAGCCACTTTTGAGAAGAGAATTTTCTAATTACAATGACAGTGGTATGATAGCTGTGGAATCCACTTATAGATTTGAAAATGTGTTTATGATCACTGCCATTGCATAGAGAATCAAGGCTATCCTTATTTAGAAGAGTCACAGAGGAGGGTGTTGGAGAGCTCAGCTTTTGAGGCCCCTCAGGAGGCAGAATTCTGGGCGAGGGGAATGATGAGGGGGTGCCATTCAAATAACAGTGAAGAGATTTGAGAAAGTAGGAGATGGTGCATTTCAAATGCATTTTTCTTGACGAACAGTTACTGGATATTTGAATTCTACATAAATGGAAAAATTTTGGGGTGGGAGAATGGTAATAAAAATAATTTTTAAAAGTTGAAGTGAGCTATTCTAATTCTCTCTGAGAGAACTTGAATATATTCCTGGAGTCTTCTGGAAAGTAGTTCTTGGTGATAATAATGTTGCTATTTCAAAACACTATGAGAAGACCAGAATAGGCTCTAATAAGCAACTATGCTTCATTTTACTTACTGTAAATTGTACAGTCCCAAAAGTCCCATTCCTCGAAAATCTGTTTTAGGATCATCACCTTGGAAACCAATTTCACACCACTGCTTAGAAATCCGAGATTCCAGGGGAGTATTGGGCTTCAAGAACTTCCACAACTGGAAGACAAGAAAGAGAGTCATTGTGTTGATATGCACACACAAATATCCTTTAATTCTACAATTTGCATCATTAAGATCTGTGGCATAAAGCTGAATATAAGCAAATAAAAGACAATTCAGCATATTTTATCATCCTTCAACTTTTTTCTTTTTTTTGGTTTTTTATTATTATTGAATTTTATTAGTTTTAATGAACATTTACAGAGATTTTGGGTTTTCATTCATTCATTGTCGCACTGTTTTCTCTACCCTCCTCCCCAGTTCCTTCTTCTTCCCCCCACCTTGAATGTCTGTTTTAATTGTCCACATCCTTCAACTTTTTATGACAGCAGTTCTCAAGCTGTAGTTTGAGGACTCTTGGCAGTACTCAAGACCTTTACAGAAGGTTGGGGAGGTAAGGCTATTTTGACAACAGCCTTTGTGTTTTTCACTCTTAATTTTTTTTCCACAAGGCTTCAGCGGAATATTCCAAAACCTGTGTGACAGGTGATGATGGGACAACTAAATGAGGCAATTCTGTAAAACCACCACTGTAGAGACTGACAACATATTAATCATGTAATAAATCCTTTTCTTATTAATATTATGTTACTATCATGCTTTACATTGGAATGAAGAATGAACTGAAAGAACAGATATCCCACTTGTAAGTTTGCTTTAGAAGGCTAGAGAAGATTGGCAAATTCACGGAGTCAGGACTTGTCATGAGCAGGCTTCAATCGTGGGACCAGCCGGTAACAGAGAGAATGGCATGCACAAAGAGCTAGAAGCATAGAATGTCATGACCACGGGTCAGGATGAATAATGGGAGCCTGCTGGGATGTGCTGTACATACTGGAAGGCAGGAGACACAGCTTAGAGAAAACAACAGGAGAGTGTGTCCAAAATGCCATGCTCAGATGCTTGGGCTTTCTAATATAGGGTATGGGGGAAAGGGTGGAGGGTGAGGTGTTGACCTAGGGAAATTTTTTTAAGTTTTAAAAAATTTATTAAAAAAATATCAACAGAAGTAAACCTTTTAAGTCAATATACGGCATGTTGCATTTTTCCAGATTGTTCAATGCTTTAAAGCTCAAGGATGCCTCTGCTTTCAATTGTACATCGGCCTGAAACACCCTAGCTTTGAGCAAGCAGGCAGGAGACTCAACAAAAATCAAAATGGTAACAAGGCAGACTAAATACAAGGCACATCTGTAAACATATTACACATTTGAAAATCACAGGATCAGTAAAAGTGATACAGTTTATAGGTGAAATGAGAAGATCTGGAACTGGCCTACCTGAAATTTCTGAACCTGAACGGATACAGTAAGAATAAATTACATATATGTTACATATAAAAAGTTTGTCTCATCAAGTGGAATTGGCAATCCATGCTCATACTTTTAAAATCTAAGCAGAGCGAAATCTAGTTTAAGAAGATATTTTACCGTGTCCATTCTATGTTGAGTCCAAGAGCTTCTTTCACGACCTACATGTTGAAAGTCTCGAATAATCAATAAAACAAGAAAACCCATTCATTCTACACCCTCTCAAAATCGGACAGTTTTAAATCAGCCTACAGAGTGAAAGCACTTACTTCCTGTCCTCTGTCTCAAGTCCCAGCAGATCCAATCTCCTTTTATTAGAAAAGAAGAACTCATAAAAAAAAAATGCCCTGTTATCTAAACCTGCATTTGATACACATGAATATACTAATTTCTGCACATATATATTTGTGTATGAGAGACATGCAATTCTGTATCATGTCATAGGACTTGTTTTTATGCCAGTAACATCTCCCAATCCAAAAATGGACCTCTAATTTCGGGGCACATAAAAAACTCATTTTAGCATGCTATACACAAGCTCAAGAGCCTCAGAATCCTTGCCTCCAAGGAGCCACCCAGTTTAACCCTTTCCAGGATGAATCTATTTGTTTTCCTAGCAGTCCTTGGTACTCTCAATACTCTTCTCCAGCACCACAGCTCAGGAGGGGAAAGCCCTCTATGAGGTGGATTGATTCAGTGACTGGGATAATCAGGATGGGAGTGTCAGAGACAGTGCAATTGGCACAGGACAGAGCAGAGTTTAGGGCTGTTGTACATAGGGTCGCTATGAGTCGCAAGAGACTCGACGGCACATAACAACAACAACAACAATAACAACATACATAAGCTACTATAAGGGAGCTCTGTGACTTAGTGGCAAGAAGCTGCACTGCAATCCCAAAGGCACGCAGTTCAAGGCCACCAGTTGCTCCATGGGAGAAGGATGCACAATCTCCTCCTGTGCAATTAACTGCCTCTGAAAACCCACTGGCGGGTCAGCTATGGGTCGGTTCTGATCCGACAGTAAACAACAACACACACAAGCTGCAGTGCGACATGACAACAATGTTAAGTAGGGCCTTTACTTCATTGCCCAAAAGAAAAATTTTCAAACATAACTCAAAAAGTGCCTCCAGCAATATTTTAGAAGCTACACTAGAAAAAGCAATTGCCTAGTGACAGAATTAAAAGTCTGGCAGTGATGAGCATGGGAAACATCCGGGTGCTCATGGAAAGAGGAGAGGTTTGATGAGGAAGATTTAGTGGTTGCAGAAGATTTTCCCTGTCAGATTACAAATGATATGAGGGTGAAAAAAAACCCCACATCTTTCCACAAAGGGACTAATGCAGTAGTGGACACTTCTGGCTCTGTAACTTTCTAGTTGTGTGAGTGAGACCCCAGATGGAAATACTCATGGTTTTCTCAGCTACAAAATATAGATAGTACCAGAATGAAAACTGCGTAGTGTAGCGGACTGGGGCAGGGGTGTGTGTGTAGGGGTGGAATGGGATGTGTAACAATGAAATAATTTTTTTTTTACTTTTCAAAAAGAAAAGCAAACTGGGGTGAGGGGTGAACAGGGAGGAAAGTGCACAACTTATGCATGAATGGAAATGTAAACTTTCATTAAAATAAATTTAAAAATCTTAAAGACTAAATTAGGTGGAAAAAATTACAGATAATAACTATCTTCCTTCTGTAAATGTTTATGAAAATTAATAAAATATAATTATAGAAAAAAAAATAACTATCTTCTTGAATACCTTGTTCAGCTGTAGCAATCAAAATAGATAACACATAATACTTAAGTCATGACTCCAGATAAGTCATATCATAAACATTTTTGGCATATCTGTAATTAATCTCATTAAGTCATATATTCATTCATACTGGTTGTAAAACTACTCACATGCTACCAAAACAACTCATTGACCTTCCAGTTGGTTTTCAAAGGCTCTAAACTTCACAGGAGGAGACTGACCATCTTTCTCCCACGGTGCCACTGGTAGATTTGAACCACTCCCCTTGGGGTTGTCAGTGCAACTCTTTACCCACTATGTCACCAGGCCTCCACCAGTCACATGTCAAAACATGTAAAACAGATCAGCTCGGAGTGGTGCATTGTAGCTTCCCAAAAGTCATGAACGGATTTTAGGGGTATCTCAGCCATTGTACTGAACTGCCCACGCACTTTTAGCTAGTCTGTTCATTTTACCACATTTTTTTCTCTCTTATTCCCTTCTTATTTCATATCTTTAAGTCATTTTGTGGAACTCAATTACCTCTATCAGAAAATGCCCAGAAAGAAAGAAAAAAATAGAAGGGGATCAAATTCAAACTGTAAGTTAGCTAAAATTAAGCTCTGAGAAAGAGAAAAAGAAAAGCTATTGCCAAGAACCAGGCTTCTTTAATTTTTAATGATTCCCATTGATCCGACACTAATTAGCAGGAACAACATAAATCATCTGCTTAACTATTAACATATACAAAAACATAGCCTCCTTCACACAGAAACACAAGGAGATCCATTTTCAAAATGATAGCTTCTACTGGCATGTTTCCAATAAAATATATTTAAGGTAGCTAAACAAACGTTTCCTTCCTATTTGTTACTCCCACTTGGAATTCTACAAAGGATAAGGAGGCATGCCAGCCTTAAAAGTATCTATTTCCATAAGTGAAATTATAAAACATTTCAGATTAGTAGCTTGGAAGATTTGCCTTAAATAGTATTGTTTTTCTCAAAATTCTATGTTCTGAGGTAAAATTTTAACATTGCTTTATGTATAATTCACTCTAAGGTTATATAAGATTCTTAAGTTTTCACTTTAACAGTCATAAGTTGTTCTTGTAACTCTGTATTATTTTTTCAATGATTCAAATATGTCAGATATAAACCTGTACCTCTTTTCCAAGTTATATGAATAATCACCATTAAGATCTTGGGTAATTTCCCAAGAGGGCAATTGCCGAAGCAGAAACCAACTTCATCTTCTTTGATGTGTATTGAAAGTCATAAATGAAAATCCCAGGACACTATTTGACAAATGCTATTTCTCCTAAATGGCTTTTAGCACATGTTAAACAATCTAAACTATCCAAGCCGAGCCCATGCGGCAGCCCACAGCAATCACCTCTGATGCTTTCTCAGATTACAAAAGAAAATTGGCTTTCAGCCTAACTTCTCACATGGATTTTCTAATGAAAAATTTACCTCCAACATCAGAACTAGCAAGAAAATTAGCCTGCTCAACTACTTAACTGTGTCCAGGTCCTGGTCTTCCTTGGATTTCAACGTCCAGCACATTTTTAGCAAAGAGCAAGCACTCAGCAAATATCACCAGGCCTTCCTGAATGGCTAGCATTTGCTCACACACTTACCTTCAAAAGCATTTCTTCATGTTGGGGATTTTCAGAATCATAGGGTTCTCTGCGTAGTTTTTCCACATCTACAATAAGATTTCTGTACCCAACAATTTGCAGGAGGCAAGCTTGAAGAGAGATTCCCAACCTGACATGTAGAAAAAGAAATACATATGAAGGGAATGAAATTTCACATATTTATATGTTAAAATAATGTAAAATAAATTACTCAGATAGGATTTGTTTACTGTGAACACCATTCTTACTGAATGGCAGCTGTAAGAAACTTGTAAACATTTACCTCTAAGTCTCTTGAGCTAAATTGCGACCATGTGGCTTAAAAACAAGGAAGCTCATGCAATATTATTTAAAATGGGTGACCCTGGAGGACATTATGCTGAGTGAAATATCTCAGTCACAGAAGGACAAATACTATATGGTGACAGTGTTGTAGAATGAGGCTGACATCAGGGTGGGGGTAAGACAGAAAAACTGGATAAATTATATATACTACATTGAAACTGATGAGGGAGAGAATAGTTTAAAAGTAATATATTTTAGGGCATTATGATTATCATAAGAGTTCGGAATGAGGGTTGCAGAGTGGAGTATATTTGGGGTGGGGGTAGGGGTATGGGTGCGGGGGGGATTGTATACCAATGAAGGAGTTTTTCTTTTGCTTTTCAAGGAGAAGAGCTAACTGGGGGAAGGGGGCGGGGAGAAAAATGCAATAATGAATGAATGGAAATCCAAAATCTTTGTAGATGTTCATTGAAATTAATAATAATTTTTAAAAAAAGCAAACAAAAAACCAAGGAAGCTCACTTTGCAGTCAGTAACAGATAGTAACCGACAGTCCCTTCCTTCCTCTGCTGGAGAGTCAGCTGTGGGTTAGTTCTGGCTAGATGGCACACAACAATAACACCTGCCTTTCAACTCTGAAGACCTAGTAGTAAGAAGCTGCACCGCAATCTTGAGGGCATGAGGTTCAAATCTATCAACTGCTCCATGGGAGAAGGATGGACAATTTCCTCCTGAGAAATTTACTGCCTGTGAAACCACTGAAGGATCAGCCATGAGTTGGTTCCAACTGCCTTTCTTCTGTCAGCCTGTCATACTGCAGAAGCTCCTGATGAATGCTATTTGCTGCTACCCTGCTGGAACCTATGATCTGGGTATTTTATATTCCAGTCTTGGTGGACAGGACTCAGCGGACTTTCCAGGCTAGCCATAAACACAAGCCTGGTGACTTACTGCTGAAGCTTAGCCAGTGAAAACCTAAGGACCACACACCGCAGAGCACTGCCTAACTCCCTAGCTTTGGACCTGTCTCATCGGAAAGGGTCAATCACTAGAGAAGGTGTTGTTATTGTGTGCTATCAAGTAGAAATCAACCCCTAGCTGACCATCGAGGGGTCTTTCAGAGGCAGTAAATCACATGGGAGGAGACTGCCCATCCTTCTCAGGTGGAGCAGCTGGTGGATTTGAACCACATGCCTTTGGGTTTGCAGTGTAGCTTCTTACCACTAGGTCACCAGTGCTCCTATCAGAGAGAGAAGAGAAGTGAGGGAGATCCTTGGTGACATGTGCTGGCATAACAGCCACAATGGCAGACAGGAATACGCCAGCGTCTGTGCGGATTATGCAGGACCCAGCAGTGGGGTTTTTCTGCTGTACATAAGGTTGCCCTGAATCAGAACTGACTTGCTGGCAGCTATAATCATTATCCCTGTCATATCAGAAATCCTTTCAAAAGGAAGTGTGTATGAAACAGAAGGACAAAGAGCCCTGTGGTGCTTTGGGTCAAGAGAAGGATATTTAAAAGAAACAAACAAACAAACAAAATTTCACTGGGAGTGTCCCTAACAGATGAGGCTTACCAGGAAGAGAACTTACTCACGATTTTGCTAACTTTCTCATTCTATTTGGACTGCACTGGCTTGTGATTTAAATTCTCTCTAAAAAATATCGAGCAAATTTACTTCCACTTTTCTCCTACCATGCTTATTGAAGATAGTGACTCTTCCTATCTCATCTTTTCCAGGGTTAAAAAAAAGCCCCCTGTTCCATCAAACTCCTCAAGGGGCATTGTTTTCAGATACTTTATTATCTTGCTAAGTCTGTTCTGGATATAAACCATCTGATTGTTATTGTTGTTATGTGCCATTCAGTCAGAACTGCCTCAACTGATTCTCCAGCAGTGGCAAGAAGCTGTGCTGCAATCCCAAAGGCATGTGGTTCGAGGCCACCAGATGCTCCATGGGAGAAAGATGGGCAATCTCCTCCCATGAGATTAGCTGCCTCTGAAAACCCACTGTAGGGTCAACTAACCCGCTGTAGGGTCATCTATGAGTCGGTTCTGACTCTAGGGCACTCAACAACAAATCTGTGGTGCTGGAGAAGAATATTGAATGTACCGTGGACTGTGAAGGGAACAAACAATATGTCCTAGAGAGGGTAAAATCAGGCTGTTCCTTGATGGCAAGGATTCTGAAGCTTCGTCTGATATACTTTGGGCATGTTGCAAGGAGGGACCAGTCATTACAGAGGGATATCATACTTGGAAGGGTAGATGGACAGTACAAGAGAGGAAGACTGTGGATGAAATGGACTGATCCAGTGTCTGGAGTAATGGGGATAAGTGTGTCTGGCACAATAAGTTTAGCTCATGATAGAGCAGGGTTCAGAGCTGTTGTACATACAATCACTATGAATCGCAGGCAACTCAATGGCATAGAACAGCAACAACATAAAGCATTGTATCAGATAACCCAGAGATGCTAAAGAAAAAGAAAATGAAAAGCCACTAAAGTGAATTTCTAATTCCCTGCTACTATAATATTGAAAAATGAAATCAGACAGTTAAATTTTAGGAAAAGAACACAGTGACATTGGTCATTCAGAAAAATCTATGCAGGACTGAGAAGAGAATTAATTCTGAGGAATAGAAGAGTGAAAAAATAAAAGGTGGGGGCAAGAAGGGCAGAATATTTCACTAGAGAAATTTTTAGCATCACTATAAGGAGCACTTCAAAGTAAGTTTAATAATAATATAGTCTAGAGCGATGGCTACATGGTGGAGTGGACCTGGGGGAGGGTTTGTAAAATAATGAATCTTTTCTTTTACTTTGCCAAGAGGGTAATGTCTGGTAGGGGGAAGCCCTGGGAGGGGACAAATCTACAACAATGAATGAATGGAAATCCAAAGCCTCTGTAAATTTTCACTGAAATTAATAACAAATTTAAGTTAAAAAAATAATTAAGTTAGAGTAAGGATGGCAATGGAACCACCTTACCTCTGTAACTTGATTTGTGCCACTATTAGAACCTCTACTCAGAATATTGTTGCTTTTCACTCGTGCACTTTTAACTTGTTAGTTAAATTTATATCTTCTAGGCTGCAACACTTCCATGATACATCTTCAAGGATATGAACATGTACGGCTAAGCACAATTGATAACAGTGCATCTAAATTCCAAAATCAATCTCCATAATAGTCTATGTGTTTCCTACTGGCCCCTTTGGAGTAGTGAGAGAAGACATTCACCCTGAAACCCACAGCATCCCTTTTCAGCAGGAAGTAGCTAAGAGAATACGCCATCCCCTTTTCCTTATGAATCAGGGTGAAGTCTCTCTCAGGGAGGAGTGATAGGGAATGGCAAGGGACACACTGACAAAGGAGATTAATCAGAACTGGCTTTGACAAGCACTGTGGCAATTGGACAATTAAAACAGACATGGGGGGGGAAGAATAACGAACTGGGGAGGAGGGTGGAGAAAACAGTGCAACAATGAATGAATGAAAACCCAAAATCTCTGTAAATGTTCATTAAAACTAATAAAATTTAATAAAATAAAAAAAGGGAAAAAATCTTTATAATTTATATCTCCTCTATCCTTCTCTTTTATCTCTTTGGAATTTTTTTTTTTTTTTGCAGAGAAGCAGTTAATTTTGAAAATTCAGATCTTGCCAATATTGACCTAAAAAAAAAAGGCAACAGATTCCATATTCAGATGTAAAATCAAACCTCTTACCTACAATAGTTTTATCTTTATCTTTTCCCAAAGATAAAGAAAAGAATATATGGTAAGAAAATGATACTGGATGAAACTTGTATAACTTTCAAAGAAAAGCCATAGAAAAATATTTGCTAGTAAGTCTAATCCAGTCTCTAAATATCATTATAAGACTAACTTATCCCTCATGTAAGCTGCAGCCTTACATTTCTGGTTCAATATAATTGAGAATGAATTGCCTTTTTATCACTTTCCCTGAGGAATAAAATATGTCAGAGCACTTCAACAAGACAGCATAATGAAATCAACCTTTAATGGTTCAATATGGAAAAGGTGACTAATCAGCTGATGTGGCTGCAGAAGCATGCTATGGAGGCCAGAAAGAAATGGGATTTTGTGATGACCCCTGGAAAGCTAATACCCAGAATTCCTCCAAGGGACAGACCTTCTAGGCAAAGTGTACTCTAAAATTCCCATCAACTGCAGTTCAACATGGATATTTAAAAGACAGCTTGATTATTACCTACCTAAACCATCTCTCTCTATATATCTGCAATCAGAATTCATTCTATTCAATGTTCTTAGCCCCAAATTTAACTGAAAAATTGCTGTACTCAAGAGAAAACATCAAGCTAATTTTAAATGTCATGCACATTGCCAAATGCATTTTAATACTTCCAAGACAAGATGACTAAATTATAAAGTTCTTAAGTCTTGTATAAAAACCATTTTCCCTCCTACACAAACTTATCTTCTTGACAACCACATCAGCCTGTCAAGAGCTGAAGGTGTGTTCTTGATGAAGCACCATCAGTTCAGGCACCTTTACAACTTGAACATTTACTGTTAGTGTAAAACACTAGCATTGCACAGACTGCCTGCTGATGAATGGTCTCCTTTCATCACAACTTTCAACTTCAGGGGCATCTGTCAAATTTCTTATCCTTCTCAAACCTTGGAAGCATAAGCATAAATAACGATAGAAGTATATATAATAAAGTTGTTGCCAGTTACAAACACACAAAAGCCACTTCTATGTTTCTTTGTTCTTCATCTGAAAAGCAAAACACTGCAGATAATTATTCTAGGTAGATAGAGGCAGAAAGAAGAAGAGAGAGGATGAGCAAATCAGCAAGCTCATGAGCGATACACTAAAATACTAAGTATGAGGCCATAAGACTTGCACTTTATATTCCTAATGTAAGAGTATATTCTTACTGTGGATTTACGTCAGGGTTGATCCTTTTCAGTTCCATGATGTCGTCTATAGTTTTTTCAATGGCGTCAGGGTGAACGCTGACTGAAGTCTGCAACAGCTGAAAAACACATTTCAATCAATTGCCTGGTCGGAAGCACTAGTGATTTAAGCAGGCTGCTTGGACAGAGCTTTCAAATATTTAATGTTCTACATGAAGATAAAAAAAACCCTTATAGTAAAAATTGTTTTCATGTACATGAGTGCTAAATTGATAAACAGACGTGTTAGGTGAAGGGAGAGGCAATACAATATATCCTAAGGTGTTTGATGGGATATTGTAATTAATGTTATAAAACAAAATACCTATGAATGATAATGCAATATAAATTGTAAATTTTCACTCAAATAAAATTTGAAAAAATAAACTTGACAGTTGCACACTAGAAAGTATATAACTTAGTATTATATAACATAAAACAGAACTGCATACAGCTGTTTGGGGTTTTTTTTTCCCTTTCTTTTCCCATTTCAACTTACTTATAATGAGGTCCACTTTCTTTTTCCTGACCCAGCATGTTTTCCTTTGTCAGTGGGCAGTATGTCCACAACTAAAGAATGAAGTGTATGGGGCAGACAATTTTTTTTAGCAGATACCATTTATTGAGCTTCAAGCTTTGGGAAGCATCACACAGTCTTTTCATTCTTGCATTTAGCTACCCTCTACTGTAAAGAGATTGAAGGGAGGTGAAGTAAGTTGTCCAGCTGGATTCAAATAGTTTCTTAGGAGTCATGTGTTCACCCTCAAACTTCCCTGCAAAGAAGCTCCAGTGAAATAGTCAGCAGTGATCCATCCCCATGTCTGACCTGCATTATGTATAGGGGCAGACAATCTCAAGGATGTTGAAATTAAATAAGGAAATGAAATAATCAGGAATCATGAAAAAACCTGAAGATGTTCTTTCTGTCTCAGCTATGTGCTATACAAGCCAGCACACTCACCTGCTGAGTTATACCGGAAGAACTTAAACAGATGTTTTCTTACTTTTACTTGTCCTTTGAGTGAAAGTTTACAGAGCAACAGGCTTTTCCTTCAACAGCTCAGACACATTTTGTTTCATGCTACTGAACACAATCCCCATAAACAGCACCGCTTCTCCCCGTGTTTACTGTGTCTCCTCTTCCTTCCTCTGCTCTCTGCGCTTTATTCCTGGGCTACGGTCACATCTTATATGGTTTTGATTTCATATGGTTTTAAGGAATGCAACCTTACATGGTAATTGTTCACTGAAATAATACTGAATATGTGGCTAAAAGATTTGTTCACTGCTTGTCTTAAAGGTGAACTATAGTTTTAAACTCATTTCCAGCTCCAAGGGGTAGGATAGTCTCAGGGTTTCCATCATTGTCCATCAGACACTAGTAAACTTGATCTTTTTTTTTTCCTTTTAACTGTGTTCTCTAATTTTCTCCCACTCTCTCATGGGCTGTGGTATTGGAGAAGAGCACTGAACATCCCATGGATGGGCAAGACAACAAACAGGTATGTCTTAGAGAGAGTACAGCCAGGAGTGTTCTTTGGAAGCAAGAATGAGGCTTCACCTCACATACTTTGGCATGTTGCTAAGAGGAGATATCCCTTGGAGAGGGACATGATATTGGGAAGGGTGGAGGGTCAGCAAAGGAGAGGAAGACCCCCAACCAGGTGGATTGATATAATGACTGCTGCAATGGGCTCTTGTGTGTCGGGAAGTGTGAGGATGGCTCAGGATAGAACAGGGTTCAAATCTTTTGTTCATAGGGTTGCTATGAGTCATACTCGACTTGACAGCACCTAACAACAACAGCAGCAGCAGGATTCTCTATTCTCCTCCAAAGTTGTCAGCAGTGGGAGCTGGACATCAGTTAGTTCTTCTGGCCTCAGTGTCAAGAAGACTTAAGTTCACATGGTCTACTGCCAAAGGGGCCCTTTAGAGTAGTGAGAGAAGTTCTTCACCCTGAAACCTACAGCGTCCCTTTTCAGCAGGAAGTAGGTAAGAGAATAATACACCATCCCCTTTTCCTTATGAATCAGGGTGAAGTCTCTCTCAGGGAGGAGAGATAGGGAATGGCAAAGGACACAGTGACAAAGGAGATTAATCAGAACTGGCTTTGACAAGTACTGTGGCAATTGGACAATTAAAACAGACATTCGCGGGGGGGGGAAGAAGAACGAACTGGGGAGGAGGGTAGAGAAAACAGTGCAACAATGAATGAATGAAAGCCCAAAATCTCTGTAAATGTTCACTAAAACTAATAAAATTTAATAATAATTTAAAAAAAAGAAAAGAAAAAAAGGGGGGGGGAGTTCACATGGTCTATTATTAGTCCTCCGCACCAACAGTCTGTCTTCATTCTTCTTTGCTCCAGATGTGGGTAGATGAATAGGTACACCTTAAATGGTCACTCATAAACTTTTAAAACCCAAGTCGCTACTCACCAAAGACGGCTGGAGAGCGTGTCTTTATGGACTACTTTATGTCAGTTGACCTAGATGTTGTTCCCTTGAGAGTATGGTCCTGGGCCCTAGGCCCAGTGTCACCCTCCCTCAGATTGCGTGGTTCCGGCTAAGAAGTTACATATAAAGTTTAATGATGGGGATATTCAAGAGATACCAGAGAGTTAATAATGTTTCTGTTTTCAAGGGGTTTTTATTTTATGATTTGGAGAGATGTATAAAAAATGACTGATTTAACAATGCAATAAGAAACGCCCCACAAATCTGCCTAGAAATGCACATGTAATGTTTTCATTTCAAAAGAACAGAGATTCAGGATAAACCATTTTTTCTTTTTACTTTGTATTAGTATTCCTCATCATAATATATGTTTGCTTCTTGACGTCTTCTCACTTTTTTGATCGAGGTAAACCTCCACATGGAAAGTTACTGAAGTTACAGCAACCATTTTACTTACCTTACTTTTTGAATCCCTCAGTGATGTTTCTGTTAAAGGGATAACAAATTTTTCATTAAAAATTACTCTTTACAAATGGTTTAAAAGCATTATACTGAAATAGAACACCACACCCCTCAACCCAACTTTATACTTTGCTCACTTCTTGATTTCCTGCTTACCGATTTTCATGGTTCTAGAAGCTCCAGGCTTAGTACTGTAACAGATGCGTTGCAGCTCACATCTTCCTGTCAGCTTCCTCATTACAAATTTCAGACAGCGCCACAGAAACTTACAGTAAAAATACAGGCACACCTGGATCAACATTCTGTCAAAAACAAAAGACAGCACCCTTCCAATAGAACTCTGGAAGAGAACAAAGCAACAAAGCGACCACCACCAGCAGGGGGGGAAATGCCCCAGGAGAAAAATCAGTCATTGGAGTTCTGGGTCTGCAAGTATATTTATTTTTCCTAATCCCATATGACCTCATCTGAGGCTACAAAACCCCTGACTGAGATGCCTGAGATATGTGTGAAGGTAACCACTATGATTTCAAGCAACCCCAGACTGCCTTATTCTTGTATATCCCAATCCAGTGAAAGTGAAATAGCAGAATTCTTTATTGTCTGACTTTCAACCATTGCTTAAGCACATTCAGTACCATGCAGACAGAATTCTTTAACGCTGCTGTGTCTCAGGAATTGTGTCTCATCTTAAATATGGGGAGAGAGCATGCCGTGGCAATTTTTTTCTGCCTTTGTGGACAGCCTCTCAGTTTGCTGTAGCTTATTTTTCAGCCCTTCCTTCTTGCGTCCCACCTTATGCCTTACTTGCTCTTGTATTTCTTTCCTTCCGCTCTGCTTTCCCCTTAGGCAGTGCTATGCATGAGGACTTGGTAGTGGAGTCACTTGTCTTCTCTGCTGACCAACCCCAGCATGCTCTGAACTTGCTGGATGGCATCCTCACCAGCTCACTAAACAGGACCTTTGATTCCCCTCAGAGGTGAAAACACTGATTTAAACATTTCAAATACTCTGCCTAACATGAAGTTTGTCTTTGGCTTCTGCTAAGGAAGGTTTTCTTTTGTGTAAATTCTATCTCATTCTGATAATCCTACAACAACTATAAATTATCTAGTCACCAATTCTGTCCTTAGACATACATTTTTGTTGTTAAGTTCTATTGAATTGGAACTGACTCATAGCTAACCCTTCAGCAGGTTTTCAGAGACAGTAAATTGTATGGGAGGAGGACTGCCCATTTTTCTCCCTTGGAGTAGCTGGTGGGTTTGAACCATGTGCCTTTGGATTGGCAGAGCAATTCCTTACTACAAGGTCAGCAGAGCTCTGTCACAAATTTCAAATATACGTTAATTTGTTGTTTGGGCTGCCTTTAAATGCAACTATTCTTATCACGAGAACCTACCACTTCAATTTGCTCTCTTTAAAAGACTCTATCTATTAGAGGTAAAGTAGTTGTTGCAGTTGTTCTGTGTCTCCAAGTCAGAACTGACTTATAGCTGACCCTGCAGTGGGTTTTCAGAAAGAGGAGCTGTTATCTAAAAGTTTACATTCTGGTTGTTGCCCCATCTACTTTTTGTAGGATGCATTTCTACGGGGCAGAACTATTTCTTACTTCCTTTCAAAAGACATTCAGAAAATACTGTAATAAAGTATTACAGGGCTATTTAGATAAACTAGAGTTGCTAACAGTTCAAGGTATATTCAAAACACTTTTTCCAGCACCACAGCTCAAAGGCAGCAATTCTCCTTCTATTATCCCTAGTCATTGTCCTCGAGAAAAGCACTGAATATATCATGGACTGCTAGGAGAACAAACAAGTTCATTCTAGAGAGGGTGAGACCAGGCTGCTCCTTGGAGGCAAGGATTCTGAAGATTCGTCTGGCATGTTTTGGGCATGTTGCAAGGAGGGACTGGTGCTTGGAGAGTGACATCATGCTTGGGAGGGTGGAGGGACAACACAGGAGAGGAAGACCCTCGATGAGATTGATTGATTCAGTGGCTGGGGTAATGGCGGTAAGTGTGTCAGAGACAGTAAGATTGGCACTGGATAGAGCAAGGTTTAGGGCTGTTGTACATAGGGTCGCTATGAGTCACAGGTGACTTGAAGGCACATAACAACAATGACAACAACAATAGCTTAGCTAACCATTAGCCTCAGTGATGTGATCCATACCTAGATATCATCTTCCAGTTACTTGGTTCCAACATTCTCAATGGTTTTGTTTTTAAAAATCCTAGCAGATAGACTCATACAGAGGAAGGTTTAGGGTTGATTTTTCACAAAGGCAATAAAAGGGAACAGTCAAGATATTATAAAAAGATAAAATAATACTATGTTTTCCAGGAAACAGAATTATGTCCTAGAATACCTAGTAACATGAAAAGTATAAATAATATGTTTATCAAGTGAGAAAAGTTACAAAGCCATATATATATAATGATTTGCCTTTCTGGTGAAAAAAATAAAACAACATTTTAATGGCCATGTATGTATAAATAGGAGTGGTAGTGGGACAGCCTTCCAGGATTCACACAAAAAAAGTGCTATTAGTGATTTTTCCTGGGTTTATGGGAATTATGGAATTATAGGTAATTTTACTTTCTTTTTTTATAAAGTATATTTTAAGTATGTTATAATAAATATGCATTAATTTGTATTTTAAAAAGGTATGATAATGAAATGGATATACTCATCACCAAAAGTTATTTCAAAGTACATATAAAATTTCTGAAGTCAGCTAATAATAAAATCAACCATATTCTATTAAAGAGAATAAATTTATTTAATATGATGTAAAGTCTGACATTCAACCATTCTTAAAATATGTTCTAAGATCTGTTGGGATTTAGGTTAACAACTTCCAAAAATCAGTAATCCTTAAAAAGAAATTTAGCAAAACATTTTAATGGGATGAGTGAGTTTTCTAAAACATCAACGTGCTGCCTTAGAAAGTTTTCCACTTTCTCCCAATTGCATGTATTCCTTATTGACTAATTTGTTATCTGTCATTTTTCATTTATGACAAGTAAAAAATCTATTACCTGCCTGTTTCACACATTATTGATGTTTGTCTGGCAGTAATAAATGGTGAGATGCAAAGTGGGCATAATGCTGTCTAGAACGGTTAAGGCTGTCCACCAACTGTTCTGTGGGAGAAAGGGGAGCAGTCTCCTCCTATGCGATTAACTGCTTCTGAAAACTCGCTGGAGGGTCAGCTATGAGCTGTTTCCAACATGTGTCACCTGGGCTGGGCCAGGATTCTTAGTTTCTCTAACAATGTAATTCGACAGTCATGCAATGAGGTATTCATCCTCTATATCTGCATACTATAGATTTTCACGTTATTATTTGAAATGTGATCATGTCAAAAAGTGAGGAATGCATATACTGGGCAGCCACATTTATTTAAAAGAAAATAGAGCAAGAAAAGAAAATACTGAACTGACTAGCCATTAGCCAAATATCAATAATAAGTAATGGAAGGTACTGGACAATCAAGAATAAGAGCCTTCCACAATACTTGTCCTGATGGGTACCCATGTGTAGTTTTACGCAAACCCAGTCTCACACATGGGCCAACACCTCAAATGAAGCCTTTTTCAAGGTTGTGTATAAGGACTCCATTGTAGGCAAAAATCTCATGATAAGTCAGGTTCTTGGAGTTCTAAATATTCTTTGACAAAAAAATTCTTATAATTATTTATAGAATATCTTTGTATTCATCCCATGTAGGGTGAAAATCACCAGACCATATTCTAACTTAAATAAAACCACAGCATTGGCCCATGTGATCAGATGTGTCAGGTCACACATCTATCCAAGATGTGGTCTAAGACTAGATGTGTCATCCCAGGTGTTAGCAAGTTTCCAGACGTAAAGTAACTTAAGCCCACCTGTAATTTCTCCCACTGGCTTCCTTACATACAAGAAAAGAGAGAAAGAAAACCAAAAAAGGTTTGGGAATGGTTTTGCATCAAAATCAAGATTGTCTTACATAAAGGAGAAAAACGTCATTGTGCTGTTTATTTTCTCTCTCTCAAGGATGTTCACTTTACCAAACCTAGAGATGTCCACAGTGGGAGGTTAAGGACGAAATGTTATGCCTCAGGGCTCATCACTCTGTAAGGTACAGCACATCCTCGTCACATGACCACACACACAAGTTCCCAAATCATGACAGAAAAATGTCCATTTCAATTATGAAGGGACATTCACAACATGGCTTCCCCTCTTGTATTTTCTAGGTCAACAGTCCTGATAACGATATTCATCATCCAGGATTCCTTTTTATTTTTTTCCTCTGTTTTGCTAATGGACCAATGTGCCCACAAATATTACATTAAAATATCAACTTACTATGCTGGATATACTGTCAAGGGTCAGCACACTAGATCAAAGGTGTTTGATTTATGTCATTCACACTGTGTCTAGATCGTAACCTGCTTCAGGCAGGACACAGATGAGATAAAAAGTGAGAAATGAAAATAAAATAAGGCTTCCCCTTATTTTGATAATAGAAACAGTGTCCACCTTGCTATCTCATTAAAAGGCCAGTTCACCAAATGTCTATATAAGCATCTGCGATGACTATTCCCCACCATCACCTGCTGCCAGGAGCTCACTTCTTAAATACTGGGATCTACTAACATCCTTAAGTGGTAATGTTTGTGCCAAGGGTCCAAAGCATAACAATACAAACAGTTAAAAGATTTTGGAGAACTTTAAATTGGTTTGGCAAATTTACTCTGGCCAGGAATAAATCAAGAAATGGATATTTAGGGAATCAGAGGATGGTTTTCTAAAAAAGAAAGAAAAGGAAACAAGAAAGGTTTGCTTGTTTCTTATCTGGATTTAAAGCCTTCTGGTTTCATTGGCATCCTCTCCTTTGAATTTCCTTTGCTTCACCTTCTCATGTTTCTGTTCACATGCCCTGGGAGGTGGCATCTCGAATATATTCTGTGAAACTGATCTCATTTGCTTCCTTTTGCACAGGCCCTAATCCCCCTTGGCTCCTGCTCTTAGAGTAAGAATTACAGTCACATCCTTTTGATCATCTGAATCCTTGTTCAGGACATTTAGGGCTCTGCTCCTCTTATTCTCTCTGCCTGAGCTAGCAAATCAGTAAGTGCAGTTTTAGTTGGGGAATATGCTGCTTTGTGCCCTGCCCCTTCATAACATTAAAAGAAAAAAAATGCAAATAAACCCTCAAACTCCTTGCCACTGAGTCAGAATCAACTCAAAGCTAACTCTCCAGACGCTTTTCAAAAGCAGTAAATCACATGGGAGGAGTCTGTCCATC